CTACTTTTTTTTTTTTTTTTGCTTTTGTTTTTGCCACTGCCCTTGCAGGACAACAGGTTTGCAGGATTACAAATTAATAAATGGAGACCATATTCCCAGAATTGGAGTTGAGGCCACCTGTGGATATGAAAATCAATTCCAATTCATCTTTTACATCACAAAATCCAGAATTCATCCAAGTTCAATCAAAATTCCCACTATTATTAAATCTAGCTTAATTTAGACAAACATAAGGGGGGTCCAAATTTCATTCTATTACTATGTGAGACAAAGGTCATAAATTCTGATCAGCACTACATAAATATGAATATAATTGATTCATTTGATTAAATGGTCCAACTAGCCACACTGTATTAGTTGGTTAAATATTGGGTCAAAGCAAAATAAGTTGCTGGATCCATTTGAACTGCTCTACTTGCCAGCTTCATACTTGAACATGTTATCCAGCTCAAAAGTTGAACAGATGTCTAGTGCTGCAAAATGATACTTATTAGTTAATAGAAATGCAGTTTATTGTAAAATGTTGCAATCCTTATAAGCAAAATAAGATAAAAAAAATTAGACAATTGGCACATAAACTAATAAAATTCCATGAAAATGTTAATGCAACAAGGAATTAATTCAGTCTGGCATTACTACAGAGGCCACAGCAAACAAACATATCCTTATGAAATAATTGTCTACGTTCCCTATTGCTGTCTGACAAGCAACAGAGTATTGATCACAAAAAGGAAAATGAGCCAGTTCAAGCTGCAGTGAGACATAAATACTCTTTTGATGAAAAGAAAACTGTATTGCTTGGATTACAACAGGGGTTCTTAATGCAAATCATCAAACTGGCCATTTTATACCTCTTGCTAAACAAAGATAGATTAAGGTGGACAGGACCATTTTTCTTCCTTGTTTTAAAGTTGGAATGACAGTTACTACAATCCTTATGTGTCAGAAATCAAATGGCACCAGACTGTCTATAAGAATTTAATATATGATGGACTCTACAATCCATGAAACCTGAAGTATCACCATAAATGTGGCATTTCCAGGAAAAGAAAGCAATAGCTTTATAGTTGATTTTGCATGAGTTTCTTTCTGAAAAAAAAATAGTTCCGATTGATTCCAACTAGAAAACTCAGAGCAGATTCTATTTATTTTGTTCTCACTTCCGTATCTTGCCCTTTCTCCAAGAATTTAATGGTCAACAATTATTGGACAAAAGAAAATATTTCACATGATTACTTCCTGGAGTTCACTGTCACCAGATGTGGAAATTATCATTAGCTTAAATAGACTTAAAGAAGAAAAATTCATGAACAATGGATCTTTATGTGGATTATGGGACTTACACAATGAGCTAGCAATCTGTCACTGAATATCAGTTACTATAGAACAGCAGAAGATAACCTGTGCATAAACAGCTTTCAGTTCTTTCCATCTGAAAAGCAGCTATGGGAATAGAAAAACCTGGAGCCTGATACATCTGTTGCCATTATCAAGTTGGAGATGGTATAGCAACTGTTATAGGAGAAGTTTGTACCATATCATTAATGAGCATATTTTTAAAAAGGAAAAACAAATTGCCCCGGACTCAGAGCTGGTTCTAACAATATAGAGAACAAGAAACACAATGTTGACTCGGAATGACAATGTCACATTAGATGACCAATAAAGTTTTGAAGCAAATAAAACATTATTTATGAGTGTTTTATTGCTTATATTGTAACCTATTAAATATGATAGACTAATCAGATGCTAGTCATGGTAAAGAATTCGCAAATCTTGTGGCAGAAAGGAAAAGAAAATTGTTTTGCCTGGCCCCATTCATGTGGATTGCATTAATTGCTTATGTCTGACAAAATGGATGATTTATTATTGGAGAAGAGAACTGTGCCCCACATCTGTTGTCATTATGAAAACTACACAAAATGTTACTAAAAACAAAAATCAGTTCTGATTTTTGTTTACTTCCTTTCATCTCATTATATTACAATATTAGGGTAATATATTTCTGGGCCCTGAATGGATGCAACCAGGGCTTTTTTCTCATAGAACGCCCAGAACAGAGTTCCAGCACCTTTTTTGGATGGAACCTTGTAGGGTAGGCAAGGCAGGTTGTATGATGTGTGTGAGTTCCGGCACCTTTTTTTTTTTTTTACAAAAAAAGCACTGGATGCAACTGCAGAAGTAAGTGATATTAGAATGAATTTCTATGCTAATTACTATGAGTGAATTGCATAAAATTAATACTGTAACATAATAATAGCCCCAACAAATTTCCAGATTTATACAACAGAGAAAGCATCACTTTTGACTTGTATATTCTGAAGTTAGATGCAGACAACCCTGAACCTCAGGATTTTTCTAAAAATCATCAATTATAACTGTTTTATTATGACTTTACTCAAATGCTACTAAGAGAAAGGCACGTGTTCTCATTAGGTATTGTATATTCTCTTCCATCACTACATTTCCCATCATGCATTAAAAGTGCACAGATGGAGAGAGAAGAGTTTGAATGGCAATGGTCATTGTTGGCATTTTTCCTCCAACTGCTTGTCTTTCTAATTTCTAATATCTCTTTCTTCTCCATTTCCTTTCTCTTCCTACACCAGAACTAAAATAATTAAGAAAACAAAATCCAAGGTGGAACAATTTGAATCTGTAACACAGCTGTCCTCAAAATCCCTATTTTTTTATTTGTATCACCAATATAGATTAACCATAATTAATGCTAAAGCCCTGGTTTGGAATATTAAACTATTACACACAACAATTCAAACAGCCTGTAGAAGAGGCTGAGCCCATGGGAGGGGGTCAAATACATCATCAGTCATGAGTCCCTGCACGCCCACAAGGGATCTAAGACTCTAAGTCCAGTCTACCTTGAATTTCTTCTTAAATCCCACTAATTTCCCTTGATTGTTAGTAGTTCAGATTCTGGAGAAATCTTAACCTTGCAATAAATCTTTATACTCATTTGAACTGCTTGAATCTCCTGATTTCCCCGGTGCTTGACACAGCCATTATGAGCCAAATAAATGATATATCTGTAAATAGGTGCTTAGATTGGACAGTTAATCTGATGTTTCAAAGCTATATTTGGTTCCCAGTAACTTTGGATGGGGCGTCAAGAATCTCTCCAAACGTTAGCACTGAACTGCAGTTTTCAGTATGAATAGAGAGTAATCCATTTAACCGAATATAATTAATGTGATTTATGTTCAATTAAAATTAATCAAAAATCCATTTCTTTGACCTCTCCACCTATTTTTTGAAATATGACTGGCAGGTGCCAGTGAAATGCTAAGTATAAACCTCAACCTGCAAATATAATAATAATAATAATAATAATAATAATAATAATAATAATAATAATAATAATAATAATAATAATAATAATAATAATAAAGTTGGAAGGAACCTTGAAGGTCATCTAGTCCAACCCCCTGCTCAGGCAGGAAACCCTATACCATTTCGGGCAAATGGCTGTCCAGTCTCTTCTTAAAAACTTCCAGTGTTGGAGCATTCACCGCTTCTGGAGGCAGGTTGTTCCACTGGTTAATTGTTCTCACTGTCAGGAAGTTTCTCCTTAGTTCTAGGTTGCTTCTCTCCTTGATTAGTTTCCACTCGTTGCTTCTTGTCCTGCCTTCAGGTGCTTTGGAAAATAGCTTGACTCCCTCTTCTTTATGGCAGCCCCTGAGATATTGGAACACTGCTATCATGTCTCCCCTCTTCCTTTTCTTCATTAAACTAGACATACCCAATTCCAGCAGCCGTTCCTTATATGCTTTACCCTCCAGTCTCCTAATCATCTTTGTTGCTCTTCTCTGTACTCTTTCTAGAGTCTCAACATCTTTTTTACATCGTGGTGACCAAAACTGGATGCAGTATTCCAAGTGTGGCCTTACCAAGGCATTGTAAAGTGGTATTAATACTTCACGTGATCTTGATTCTATTCCTCTGTTAATGCAGCCTAGCACTGTGTTGGCCTTTTTGGCAGCTGCAGCAAACTGCTGGCTCATATTTAGGTGATTTAGGTGATATATTATGTACTCCTGTGACAATAATTTTCCAGGATATCTGCTTATAATGAGGCATTCCATAGACGGGGAAGCAGAATCAATCTGCCTTTTCAGTTTAATGTTTATTGCAGGCAATGACTGGTTAATACAACAAAACAAAAATTACACAAACTACATGACAAATTAAAATATGCAGCATGCTATCATGCTAGAAGAAATGGGATGAAATATAAGCAATTTGAAATATATCACCTGGCCAAGATTTGAAGTTAAGTTGTTGTTAATATTATCATTAAATAAAAATAATATTGCTTACCTAGTTTGGGGAGAAGGGGGGGGGATAGAGAAAGAGCCAAAGACATCCACACTCCACAGAGAGGAAACTCTATGGATTACTTTTCTCAAAGAAAAAAGGTAAAACATATTTTACTGAAAACAAAATCGAATTTTATGGTATTTGAGAAGACAAGACAATGTGAACCATCAGATTTAGCTTAGTCATATTCTAAAATATAGTTGCAAAAAACATAAAGTACAGCCAAGAAATTTAATTTTATCTAAATATCCTATAAGGAATAAAGTGCTTACCACTGTTTCTGCCTATCATAATGAATCTGCTATTCTATTGACATATGCTATAAATTTAATTCAATATTGTGGTTTAGATGTCTCTTTTGATAAATTTCAGTGAAAATCTGTGCTAAGAAGAGTTGAGCTGTTTCACTAGTTAAGGAGTTTGAAAGGCAGAGAGAGGAAAGGAAAGATGATAATTAAAACAATGTTCATGCAAATCCATGCCATAAAAGTTTCTGGGGCTCATTGCCTGGTTGTTTTGGACGTTAAAAGAATTTGAGTAGTTCTTGATCCTATTATACAAAAAAAAAGTTTATCTTGGTTTCTCTCAATCTTTTCTTTGTTAGCTCCAATGTCTTAGATCTTGATCTGTGCTTGTCTGACTTTCTATCTGTTCTTGTATTGTAGGCATATTGGAAATAACATCTGTGGAAATTGGAGTGGTGGCTGTTAAATCCATTAACAGCAATTATTATCTTGCCATGAATAAGAATGGCAAAGTCTATGGATCTGTAAGTATATTTCACTTGAGTTCAAATTCACCCAGTGAGCTTCTATACCTACAGGACTTGCAAGACAAGTTGTTATATATATACAGGGAGCAAACCCCACTAATGATGTTACTATAGTTCCGTTGTCAGACAATGCTCTTCAGACTGATTGGAAGAAGCTCATGAGTGAAACATAGACCTTCCACATCCAAAGAAAATGCTCTTCAATTACTTATATGCCGTTACTTCAAATTGTTGTTACCCCTTTCCCTCATGGACTGGGAATAACCCTCTATAGCTCAGAAACATAGAACATTTTTTATAGGTTGCTTTTACCTGGAGTAGCATTAAACTAATGTTTATAGCTCCAAGAAATGTTTTTCATTTTTTCTTGGATTAAATGGCCCCAAATAGCAGTATTTAAACTTTACTCTGTCCATAAAAATAAATTCTGCCCTAACAGCCATGTTTCAAAGTTATAAATAATGTGGATATGCAGCTATGTCTATCTATCTATATACTACTAAAACCTGTAATCTTTAACTGGTTGAAATAGGGCAATGATTTTTGAACCAAGGTTCCTTAAGTGGATAACTTACAGAATGTATCCAAAATCCAGGAGTCATGACTCCCATGAAATGGAAATTTGGCAAATTTTATAAAACATTTTATGAATAAAAATTATCAAAAACAGTTTATAACATAATTTAAAAAAATGTCATAAAACATTTCCCCTGCTAATGTTTGTGCTATGCAGTTCAACATGGGCTACTTTCAAGACAGGTACATCTCTGGAGAATGGGACAACTTACCGTAGCCAACTTCCCATGGCCAATTTGCCATGGCCAACTCACCACAGAACAAGTCCCTGTGGGACAATTCAACAATTCAATTTAATTATTTAAAATAATTAAAAAAAAATATTTTAATTTTTGTCATTCACATTTTATTTTTTCCCTCCTTTGGCAACCTCTCTTCAATGATTCTATTGGACTATTTCTTTGATATATTAGTGTAGCTCTTGTTCTGTGGTGAGTTGTTCCACAGCAAGTTGGCAGTGGTGAATTGGCCATGGCGAATTGTCCGTGGCGAGTTGTCATAGACCCACACCTCTGAATGTATCCCAAGTTTTCCAAGGAAAGCAGCACATTGTCACTGTTGAAGACATTGAGAAATCTGATAAAGAAATATCTCTGAAAAGATGACACAAGAATGACAGGTTGTCTAGGTTAATAATAAAAATAATGTTAAAACCCATACAAGAAAATTCAAGTACATATTTAGCTATCTATCTATCTAATTTTTTATCCTTTTATCAAGCTTACCCTGATATTGATAATGATATTGATTATATGATTGATGCAACATTTGGATTTAAAGACAGTTCATATAGCTTACAAATGTCTGTTATCCTGGGAAATGTTTTAAAAGGTAAACAAACAAATCAGATTCACAAATCTATTATTTTATCCCCTTCTATATTAGAATATATTTAATTGGAACCCACAATACCCCAAAATTCATTCCATTCCAATTTTATCAGACATTTTTCTACTGGGAATTTGTCAAATCATCTGATTTTTATAGGCTTTGGAATCCAATAAATCCAGAGGATGCCAGAGTGGGGGAAAAACTAATATACAATGTATAAAATATTTGTTCATATTTAGTTTAAATAACTAATAAAAAACAGTCACTGATTTTTGTGCAACTTTACAAATATGAATAATGTCTTAACTGATGTTGCACATGTACAACTTTCACAATGACATGGTCCAATAAATCATGTTTAGTATTTATATAATTCATTATATTAATAGTCCTTAGCAGCCTTTATAAATTAATTTGCGTTATTATGCTCATCTGCCAAACTCGGTACAGCAGATTTGAGGCTAAGAGATAATTTTCTAAAGCTACTTGCTAAATTTATGGCAGAAGCAATATATTTATAAAGCAGAGTAGACTAATGACTTTTATTTTTGCATTTTATTTTATCTATGATATAAAAATTGAAAATGTCCCAAAGATGGGAAATATCACATGATTAATTTAATTAATTTGTTGCTGCAGTAGTCAACAACATCTACCTGATGAGTCTAAGGAACTCCAAAATTATTATTTTTTTAAATGAAATCTCTCAAGATCATTCAGTGTTATAGAAATGTTGGTGATCTTGCACGAAGTCTTGCAAGATTTCTGAATTCTCATATGATATCAAATTATATAGATATTATGGGAAATGAGCAAAAAAATAAAAATGACAGGAGAAATTGCATGGTGAAATTGTTTTGTATGCATGAGATGTATATTAAAAGGGGATGAGGCCTACCATCTTGACTTTTCTTAACCTCACCCCAAAAAAACTCCATCATATAAAATATTATAAGTGAGATTAGCAAGCTTCTTAAGATTTGACTCTCCATAAGATTTTGACCATTTTAATTTGTATGGAGGAAATGGATCTGTACAGATAAATCTGAATATATTTGTAGAAATTAAACATTCTAAGAAAAACAATTTTCATTTGTCACATAGATAAATCTTCCAAATAAATAATAGATAATTTACTTCCTTTGGTTTAATTTTAATTTACATTCAAAGATAAATAATGTTTCATATTTATTTAAAATAACTTTTAGTATTGTAACTATATGGTTTGAGCCATTTAAAAAGACTACGTACCATCACAAAAATAGTGATTCATTTATGCAGCAACTTGGTTACAGAATTTCTACACAAAGGGACTGTTTTATGGGTTTAGTTTTTCTTTGAAAGTAGGTTCCTTAGTTAAACCACTTCAGCAAGTCTTTCTGGGAGTGATAAGCAGCATGACAATACTTTTATAAGTGAAACAATAAATGTAATAGATTAATCTGATTACTTGACTAGACTGAAATTCTAGAAGGAAGGCTGTGTCCCATAACCGTCAAAGCCCCTTAATATAGAAGTCAAAAATATCATACTTGAAATGGTATTGCATTCCCCTAGTGTTCATATAAACTTACCAGAGATTTAATTATTCTTTTTCCACAACCAAACAAGGAAATGCTGCTAAAAATATTTGTTTTTTTCCAGAGGTCATCATGATTGCTTAGATCCACCCTGATCTCATCTGCTATGATTGTCTAGAACTGAAATCAAAATACAGCTTTAGTTTGTAAACTATTTTCCTACTTAGGACTCTGGCTTACATAATATTCTGTATAAAATCAATAATTATTTCAGAAAGATTTCTGCAAAAGTTAAGATTCCTACTAAGACTTTCTAGGGTGGTTACAGAGTGATATGATAGAGGACTCTGGCTTTTAAAAGCTGATAGATACTCAAAATAGCGTCAATAATTTTTTCTTTAATTATTTTTCAACACAGCTTTTTTTTAAAAAAAGGAGTATATGCACTAGTATTCATGATAAATACAGTCAAAGTTGTGTTTCTGATATTTATCATCTTTTCTCTTGAAAAAGGAAGATAGAGATAGAGCAATTCCATTTCTAGAGATGAAAACAATAATAGCAAAAATAACAAAACTACTTTGGAAAAATGAAATTAAATCTGTTTTAAATCCATACATACAGTAGTTCATATTAGAACTTGTTTCCTAGATAATTGAATCAATTACCAAAAGTTCTGAAATATATTTCAGAGACAAGCTTTAAACTAAACATGATGCCAAATGAATCAACAGAAAGTACTTGTGTTTGTTTGTTTGTTTTTAAAGTAATAAGAAATAAAGGGGAAATTTGAATTAGAATTGCAAGGGATGGAATTTTAGTTGAAATCAACCAGATATGCATCCCCCATATATTAATGCATAACTGTAAGAGATAGTTGTAAATCAGATTATGGATTCTGGATAATTCCAGGATTGTACTCTTAAACATAATTTAAAAGTGCTTAATGTTTTAGAGCAGACATGTCAAACTTGCGACGTCACGTGATGTTGTGTGATGTATCGGAACTTTTTCCCCATTGTCAGCAATGGGATGGGCACGGTTTCCTCGTGATGCGTCCGGCCCATGGACCGGCAGTCTGACACCCTTGTTTTAGAGAAACATCATATTTGATTTGTCCTTCACTAGGTCATCTCACAAGTCAATCAGTTCACTAATTCTATATACTATTTCTCTTATTTGGAAAATTCCTAATACAGACTTATCTCAATGTCGTTAGAACCTTTCTTTTTTCTTTCTCAGTTCTTCCATCTTTTCCTTCCATAATCAACATCCACTTTTATTCCTAATTCCAGATTCCCAATTATTTGAAAAAGTATAAAGCATAACTTTAATAAATGTAGGGTCTAAATGGATATCAAACCCTATGATAAAAGTGAGGTTCAGATTGAGTAATGATTACAGAAGAGCAATCACACCTGTGCTTTTTTCATTGTTTTTGAAGAGTTTTAACTTGCCTACTTTTAAAAGTGGCTTAAGGGCTTAGTATGTTTATTGTGCATGCTAAAAAGCAAGCATAAAATATGTGAAGAGAGAGAAAGAGATTAGTGATGTTTCTCATTACAAAAATAAAAGCATTTCCATATTTGTTATTCAAGGAGCAGAATTTGGGATTAACCTTGCACGTCACCTTCTATCTCTCTCTCTTTCTCTTTCTCTCTCTGTCTCTCCCCCTCTCCCTCTCCCTCCCTCTCTGAATGCTATCCATTTTGCATTTTCATCCGCTGCAGGTCTTAGTCCACCTATCTACAGTGATCAACAAACATTTAAGGTTGCCTGATCTTGCTCTAAATCAAGCAAAACATTCAAGCTAAATACTGAACATGTCATTTAGAAGAACTAGATCTATGAAATGCTGCCTCTACATTCCAGGCAAATGTGCCATGATTTTGCATACATTTTACTTTGATCTTCTTTGACACATAGATGATACGGTTGCTGCTGCTGTTTCTGCAGCACGATGAGGCTGTATGCTGCAACACTAATGTTTGAAACTAAGTGGCTAGGCAAATTATCCTATTCTAACATGTGCACTGCTTATTTGTCATATCTGTTTATCAAGCAAGAATGATACAAACAAGGGAGAAGAGGAAATGTCCAAGAAATGTTTATTGTGAGTTTTGAAAGTTGGGTCTGAAGATCCCTTTTCAGAGGCAAAAGAAATTTACCATTTATGGGCAATAGCCACTCTGGCAAACAGGATATTTGACCTTTAAAGTGGACCTTTTGGTCTGAAGCATGTTGGGCCATAAAATAAATGTTTGCTTGGATACTTTGATGGTCTCTGTGCTTTTGGCATCTACCCTGTAGTTCAAGCCTTAATGGTGCATGGAGGGACACAATCCTACAGAAAGGATAGCCTCCCTATGTATAAAAATCAGTTCTAAACTGGTTCTCCTGCTTGAGCAGGGGCTGGATTAGAAGACCTCCAAGGTCCTATTCTGTTCTGTTCTGTTCTGTTCTGTTCTATTCTTACCCTGAAGTTATACATTTCTTTTGATTGTACTTAGTGGTCTTCACTCCTCACCTTCTGATATTGTCTGTGTTTTTGTCTGCTGTGTTGTTTTTTTTCTCTTTTCATACAGAAAGAGTTTAACAACGATTGCAAACTAAAGGAGAGGATAGAAGAAAATGGATACAATACATATGCCTCATTCTCCTGGAAAAATAATGGAAAGCAAATGTTTGTGGCTTTGAATGGAAAAGGCGGGACAAGGAAAGGACAGAGGACCAGGAGGAAAAACACTACTGCTCATTTTCTTCCCATGGTGGTTGACACACAGATAAAGGACCTCTTCTACTGATAGCAGCTGAACCAAAGATTTTGTCACAAATACTTTGTACTCCTCTCAAAAGGCAAAGGCAAAAACAGAGCAGATGTCTGCTTGACAGAAAAGGGGAAGTTTCTCTGCTCTGTTGAATTATGAGTACCTCTAATTAGTTACGTGTCATATCCTATAATCAAGACACAAGCTGGATCAAATGAGAACAGAGCTTTTTCCAGTGCAAGGAAATTATGATTATTATTTTTTATCTTGCCGATAGAACTGAAAGGATATGAGACAATGTATGGGGAAAGTTGGGGAAAGTTATTTATGGAATACTAACTCAAATCAAAGAACTTCATTCAAACCTAATGATCCAATGAACAGTTAAGCATTTACTGTAAGCACATGGGTCATATGCAGAAAAAAGAAAAGATTTTGGAATGGTCTCATATGGAAGAGATGAATAGGTTTAAGAAATATAAGCATATTAAAATTGTTCTAACAAAATAAATAGTGTTTTTCCCCATCTCTTTGTATGCTAACGCCATGCCTTTGTATTTCTCCCTAAGTTATTTATTTAATAGGATGTTAAATATCTTTCTTCTCTTTTTTTTTTTTGATTGTTTGAAGGATTTTCTTAGTTGCTTCCTCTTGCATAATGGTTCTTTTCCTGCTGTCTATATTCTTTGCAAGATTGACAAAGTCAAACCTTGAAACCTTGCCCAAATTTCCATAAATACAGAACAACACAAAAGAAAAACATAGAATTGTAAATTGTGTTCAGTTGTGTTTTCCCTTTTTCCCCCTCTTGAAACTTATTTTTTAAGATTTGCACTTAAAATCAACAGGATCAGAAATGAATTGAAATGGCAACAGGATCTGTGTGTATTTTTGATTACTGCTTCCCTCACGGATCCAAAACTTCCTATACTACATCATCTGAAGAGTTTTGCTGCTGTTTTGAAATGGGCAGAATTTATTTGGATACTCAAATGTCATTTAATGCCTGACCTCAAAGGTATTGAAACTGCATCATAATTATTCTCTTTTTTAAATGAGGCATAACTATATATGGCCATATGTTATACCAGTGTTTTTTAACCTCAGCCACTTTAAAATGTGTGGACCTTAATTCCCAGAATTCAACTCTGGGACTTGAAGTCCACACATCTTAAATGTGGATGAGGATGAGAAAGGCTCTCTATACTAATGCAATTTCTTTTCAGAAAGACATTGAATTAAGTCTATTGAGCTGATAACATCTGAGCAGATATTCCTTTACATCGCCACACCCAAAAAAGTAAAAAGAAAAAGCCATTCCTTTGACTGCAGCCTACTTCAGAAAATAGCCCTGAAATACTTGGTGTTGAAAATTGCATCTTCAATCTAAATAAAAGTCAATTCAGGATAGTTTCAATATTACATAGGAATTGCAGAAGAGAAAGGAAATTGCATTTCATTTACACTATCAAGCCCAATGCAAAAGCATATTCCATAAACTCTTGAAGAGATGTCTTTCTTTCAGAATGTGTTATCTCTTTGCAGGAAAATGTACACTTTCCTGTAATGACTGGAACCATGTGCTATCCATGCTGCTCCTCTGTAGCTGTTTAATGTTCTTCAGCATATCAGTTTAAGATCCCTGTACTTGGTTCTATTAAAATCTTACTGTTATAAATGGGAATAATACCTTAATTGAAGAATAAAGAATTGGCTGAGCATTGGATATGAGCATTCACCTTTACTTAGGTGTGCTGTATTCCTGGGAACCTTGATTTTAAAAGTTTTAGAAGTAGTATCTCAATTGATGATGCTGAAAAACTTTCCATGCAAAATGTAAAAGACTGATGGAAGAATATCGGGATCATATTGATCAAAACAAGTGATTGTTCCCTTTTTATTTTGGTCAGTATTTGCTGTTAATTTTTAATGCAGGGGTGAATAATCCATGAATCACATATTCCTATGCTCCATGTTCCTTTTGTACAATTTCTGGAGCTTTTAGGGCAAAACTACCAAACAATTGCTATGTACTTACCACCACAATCCTGCTACATAAACTCTCAGCCATGGACCACCAATAAAAGTGGGTTCAAAAACAAAAGAAAGGTCCAAATCTTGCTCCAAGTCTTCTGCGACATCATTTCAATCTTGGCCTACCCACTACATCCCTTGGCCACTAGGAGAAAAATAATTAGGCATGGCTTCCTAAGCTAAGAAATTGACCACTCCTACTTTAATGTTTAGAGGCTAGGGTTTTTTTGTTTTTGTTTTTTTGTTTTTTGCATTATATATTCAAATAAGTAATTCTAGCTCCAACTCCTGTGGATTGAGGGTGTATGATCTAGAAAAGGCTTCACAATGTGATATGTTGTCAATGTGAGCCCCAGAGGGAAAGAAATGCCTTGTCATCTTGGGGTGAATATTTAAGTTCCGAAATGGACAGTGATGATCATACAGCCATTTCTGGCCATTTTAGCATAGTCTACTATAACTATATTGATGAAAATGGATCTGGTATAAATTATTTGAGGATTGCAGCCACTATTTTTCTTATGTGTGTATATAACTCTTAAGAGCCAATCTACAAGCAACATCTTTCTTCATCTATCAAAATATAAGCAATGGCTCTAAGGTGTAATATTGGACATAATTTTAATGGAGGGTTTTTTTTTCTTCATAGCTTACACTGAGTAATGCAGTCTTCAGTTAAACATAATATCAACTTCTTTCAGTCTGAAAAAACCTGTATGAGTTTTGTTTGTTTGTTTTATTTTTTTCTCTTTAACATTAGAGAACTATGGATCAATATAACCATAACAAGATTCATTTTTATTAGAGCAAGTTAAGTAGAAACTGTACATCCAATCAGCATGTAGCACTCTCTTCACAGTGTATCCCACTAAATAAATGAAGAAATGCTTATGTCTTCTTTGCAGTGTCTATAGTGAAGAGCAAATGTAGTTTGTTGTTTAATTAATATTAATATTCAAAATACATTAAGGGACTAAGTGTATTGATACTGCAGGGGTTTTTTTCTTTAGTATTTTTGTTCTCACAAAAAGAATGGGTTTAAATTGTAGTTTGGTACAGATGCTTTACAAATAGGGTCCTTTTTGAAATAATCATAACTGTACAGTGTTGATCATGTTGGTGATCTTTACTGTGCTCTTCTCCATTCTCCAATTCCCTGGAAAATCAGCTAGAACTGTCCAGTGGGGAAGTTATTCCAGAGTATAATTTAGATTGGTATAAAGTTTATACAGGTAGTCCTTAAGTTATGACCATAATGTAGCCTGCCCATCATGATGGTAATTCATGATGGTTGTAAAATGTGACCGACCTGATTTTATTACATTTCTTATGGATGTCGATAAGCAAATCTGTGGTTGTTAAGTGAATACTGCAGTTGCTATGGGTGTGGTTTTGCCAAAAACTGGAAGTAAATGCTAGTTTTTGCAAAAAAGATGTAAAATGCAGTGATGTGACTGCAAATAGACAAAAATGCAGCCTGGTTGCCAAATGCCCATAGTGAAGGGACCACTGTCAGAGCTTCAAATCCAATAAGAACTCCCAGTTAGATCTGTCAGAACTTCAAATGGTCACTAAGTCTTCAAATGGTCTACTACCTGTAGAACAAGGAAAATTCATCCATAATAAATATAATATATAATACAATATAATAAACACAGTACAACTACATTTCCTGTGATCTGGCATATGTGCATGGTAGTGCCTGTACTATATCATATTATTCTCATCTCAACCTCATCTTTTATCTGTTATACAATATTATTTGAAGGATTTTTTTTTAAAATTGTTCTGTGGAGCCCTTTTGCCAGCTTTCCCGAACCTAAGTGCATTCTGGAAAAATAGATTTCAAATCCCAGGATTCTTCACCAGCCTGTTTGTGTCTGGGAAATCTCAAAATTGAATCTGACTAGAGATCACTGTGTGTGGGGAGGGGTGGGGGGGGAAAGATTGCCCTATGCCAATCATCCTTATTTAGACATGACACCTACCCTCGGATGTATTTGGCCTTGCAAGATGTTCAGACTGCAGTTGCTTAGCCTTAAATACAGCGTGCTTTGCCTGGGTGTTCCCTTATGCAAGCCCCCCAAGAAACATGAGATGGTGGAATAATTGTCTTGCACAGCTCCCCCTGCTTTTCACTAGACGTTGCCGACTGACTTCTGCTTCGAGTCACGTGGGCAAAACAGTATTTGGCACAAGGCACCTTTCCCGGCCTGATATAGTGAAATGCAGCTCTCAGAAGACTGAGAGTTACACCAGACTGGGAAAGGCTGGGCTAAAGTATCTTTTTTTTCTTGTGGTTGAACAAAAACGCTATATGTAAAACTACCAATACGTAGTTCGATTTGGAGATGATGCATAATGAAAGGCTTGTCCTATTAGGAAAAAGCTTTCCTTGTGTTACCTTTGTTGTTTTGTTTTCAAAGTGATAATTGCAACTGACAAGGCATGATGGACCACCCACAACAAAAAATAAATGTTTGGTTGACAAAGAAAGGATTGGATGACCACTCTCCAGAAGAGTCGATATGGTACAAACAAGGTTCTCATGTCACAGAACGATTAGCATTGGTTTGGGGTCTTGGGGAAAGGAAGAAGTGTAAACATTCATAATTACAGGACTTCAAAACTTTGTAGAAAAGCTTCTTGTGGGAAAAAAAAGATTGGATATAAAAATATTTATTAATAAAACATAAAAGTTAAGGTGAACAGATGTAAAGATATACAAAGTGGGAGGTTAGCAATGTTGCTCTCCTTATAATAATGTCTATACTTTTCTTTCCAAATGTCTTTGATGTTTATTAGAGAAGGAAAAAGAATCATTTTTTTTCTGGTTTCAATTTGCTTTTACTGTGCAGAATATAACAAAGTCCCTAATAAATTGAGCTATTGATATATTTTTCTGAAAGGAAAAGAATTTTTTTTCCCTCTCTCTCAAATCATTTGCCTCTAAAATGAGAATTACGTGTGCTGAAAATACAGTATATTAACGAAAGCAGATTTTTAGAACTTGGGAGTTTGAATTCAGAGTCATCCTTCTTTTGAACTGGTAAAGTAATTGAAAAGGTTGAAAATAAGGTAATTTGGAGGGGAAAAAACTGAGAAGGAATGACTACATGTATTCAGAGTCTGCTTAGGTAGGTTTTTGAAAGACCTCTAAGCAGAGGTTCACAGCTGTTTCACTGATCATTGAGCTTTAAAAAAAACTTTAAAAATCCTGCAGAGGTAATGTGCTTTGGTGTCCACTGTAGCAGTTCTTTGCTGAAGCTGGGTTTTTCAGGAGTAATATTGTTCTACCAGAAATGGTGCATGTACAAGGAACTTCTCAATGTGAAATATTGTTTGAAATGAATCCAAGCACTGATATGATTCCCAACCATTTTAAAGGGACTTGTGCTAGAGAATTCTTGGGTAGATGTAAAGTATCTTTCTGTATCCATCATAAACCTGAGACAATCTGATCATAATTTTAAAAAAGGATGTGCACGGTATGTGTGTTATTGTGGTTATTGTTGTTGTTTTTTTAAAAAATAGGTTGAACATGTACAGTATATTTAATTAATAAAAGTAAAAAATAACTACAGTTCTGAGAATAAAGACTGATTTCTTCTTTGTTCAATTATCCTCAAAATATGAAGTGAGAAATGATTTTTTTTTTAATGGCACTGAAATTTTGAAGAAAAATGGCAAATTTGATAACCTCTATGTGACTTTAAAAAAATCAAATCATCAAAATACCTGGCTGTGTTATTAGCACCAACAAATGGTATCCATCTATGTCTGTCTTCCACACTTGACCTGGCAGATGGACATAAATAAGGCCGCCTTTTTTCACCATACAGGTAGTCCTCGACTTACAACCACAATTGATGCTAAGTAAGTTGCTAAGTGAGAAATTTGTTAAGTGAGTTTTGCCCCATTTTACAACTTTTCTTGCCACATTTGTTAAGTGAATCACTGCAGTTGTTAAATTGGTAACCTCATTGTTAAGTGAATCTGGCTTTTCCATTGACTTTGTTTGTCAGAAGGTCACAAAAGGGCATCACATGACCCCGGGACAATACAACCGTCAGAAAGATGAACCAATTATCAAGTATTCAAATGTAAATCATGTGACCACAGGGATGCTGCAATGGTCATAAGTGTGAAAAATAGTCATAAGTCACTTTTTTCAGTGCTGTTGTAACTTTGAACAGTCACTAAACAAATTGCACTAAGTCGAGGACTACCTGTAGCTTAAAACAGTGATCTCAACCTTAGCAATTTTAAGATGTGTGGACTTCAACTTTCAGAATTCCCCAGCCAGCATACTGGCAGCATGCATGAAATACTAAGAGTTGCAGCCCACACATCTTAAAGTTGCCCAGGTTAAGAAACTCTAGAACAGGCATGTCAAACTTGCGATGTC